TCATGAATTCAATTCAATTCAATTCTCCCTACAGAGAGATTGGCTTTGGTTTGTCTATAATGAGCTGTAGCTTGTGTGGTACTGTACGTACAGAGTAGCTGTGCTGAATTACAGGGTGACGGCACCAGGAAGCCTGGGTCATCTTTTGTAAAGAGGCTAAGTGTTTTTCAGGCTTAAAATTTGCCAAGAACCTGAAGGAAGTGGCTCAGATAGCAAACCAAGAATAAGCAAAGTCATCAGATTCAGAATCCTGGAAACCAAAGATATTTTTAAAAGCTTTGTGCATGTTCATTGTTGGGCAAAATGGATGTATTAAGTCTGGTGTAACAGTGTCCAGATCATGGTGTACAGCCACTTCAGATTGAGGGTTGGAGGGCATCCTCGTATTCCAGGGAAGCAACTCTTACCTTTTAAATGCTCAGTCCCAGGACAAAGTAAGTTGAGCTTTTTAAACTCCTGGAGTGAAATGCTTTAGGATCCAGGTGCCCAGTTTCCGTGAACTATGATCTGGGTGTAGACAAATTGGCCAATTAAAAAACTTTGCTCATGAAAAAGGCCGGAGTGGATTCTTCAGCGGAGGTGGAAGGGACAAAGTCGTCCCTGCTGACTCCAGGCCTCCTACGATGGAGGGGGACAGCCAGTAGCAGGCAAGTCTCCAGGTTGGAGCAGGTGGTTCTGGAAACTGAAGCAGAGGGATGTGGATATATCCTTATATTGCTATCCCTTATATTAATATCCTTATGTTGGAAGAGTGAGGGGAGGTGGGTTTTTCAGCTGAGTCAAATCCCAAGACAGAATCAAGACAGTTCACATTAATTAAGAGAGCAGCGAATTACAGGGTCCTGGGTCATCTTCTGTAAAGGAGCTTAGTGTTTTCAAGTCTTAGAATTTGGCAAGAACCTGAAGGGAAGGACGTGGCTCAGATAGCAGATAGCAAACCCAGATTAAACAACCCCCCCGAAACCAAAGATATTTTTAAAAGCTTTGTGCATGTTCAATATTGGATGTCTTATTGGGTGTATTAAGTCTGTTATAACAATGTCCAGATCACGAGGTACAGCCACTTCAGATTGAGGGTTGGAGGCCATCCTAGTATTCCAGGAAACAACTCTTATCTTTTAAATGCTCAGTCCCAGGACAAACTAAGTTGCGCTTTTTTAAAATTCCTGGGGTGAAATTCTTTAGGATCAGTCCAACCTAGATGCCTGGTTTCCCTGGACTATGACCTGGATTTGACAATTGGCCAATTAAAAAAAAATTGCTTATGAAAAAGGCCAGAATGAACTCTTCAGCAGAGGTGGAAGGGACAAAGAACACTGCTGAGCTGGAAGGGACAAAGTCTTCCCTGCTGGCTCCAGGCTTCCTACAATGGAGGGAGACGCCCAGCAGCAGCTAAGTATCCAGGTGGAGCAGGTGGTTCTGGAAAGTGAAGCAGAGAGGGAGGAATAGTCCTCCTTATATTAGAAGAATGAGGGAAAATAGATTTTTTTGAACTGAGTCAAATCCCAAGACAGAATCAAGACAGTTCACCTTAATAAAGAGTGCAATGGTTCCCATAGTTAGAATGCTGGTTGGAGGTTAACAAGTGCACATTCAAGGTATGAGTGTTGCTACATGGTGGGGTGAGCTCCCATCTTTCAGTCCAGCTCCCTGACAGGGTCAAGAAAAAAGCCCCCATGGGTATCCCTCAAGCACTGAAGATGTCACCAGTTAATCCTTTCAACCCAGAAGTGCCTTAAAAGGTGCCTCTGACATGAACAGGATGGGAGTTCACATTTAATCAAACCCTACCCCTGCTATCAAGGCACAGCAACCAAACAGATCTACACAGATCTCAAACATTCCAGGTTCCCACACCCTCAGCCAGCTATTGGGGTTGATCAACTTCTGGTTGACCTACTAGTAAGAGCTTTCCTAGAGTCAAGTTACTGCCCAGGGTGAGTTGTGTGAAATTGCTACTCGCTAACCCTTCATTTTTAAAATAAAGTGCAAGGAAATACTTTCCTCCAGGCTGGCTGTAGCTACACGAATAATCTGGATGTCTCTGATAACTAGAAGTGTCTGAATGTGCCCATTTACAAGCATCTCATGCAAGCATCTACCCTGAAAAACAATTGATCTATGTTAAACAATAAAGTATTTAGACTTACCACTCTATGGTGAAAACGTTACAGGCATAATCCGATGCTGAATTGCTAAGCAGGTGGAAAGGTCAGTCTACTTTTATACCAGCTGTAAAGAGCAGTTTCACTTTTTAAAAAATAGCATGCGTGTTACTCCAACTCTCTTCTTGCTTTTATTTCCTCATTGCTTGTTTCTTTACTGTTGATCCTAAAAGGCAGAAAATATTCACACTTCAGTATAGGCAAGTTCTTCACTTACAACTGAATGGAACCTGCCCATTACAGTCATGAGTTGTCCTAGTTGTAAAGCAAGTCACCATGTGACAGACCCAATTTTACAACCATTTTTGCACCAACTAATAAGTAATTGCTGCCAATGGGGCATTTTTGCCCCAAACTGAAAACATACAGTTTTTAGCAAAAAATGTTGTAAATTGTGGTCACATGACCATGTGGACATTGCAAAACACATAAATGGGGGCCAGTTGCCAAGTGCCTGAAATGTCGCCATGTAAGGGAGGCATTTGTCTGAACATCAGAACTGGGTTGGGAATGCCTTTTGGGAGAAGGTGTCCATCATAACTTTGAATTCGTTAACTTGCTAATCCAAGTTGTAAGTTGGTTGTAAGTCAAACATACCTGTATCTTCATTGTTAGGAAGGCCTGTTCTGTTTGTTGGTTTTGTTGTCAATCTGCACTCTGACCTGTATGTTCTCTGCAGTTATCATTATCTTTGTTTTCTTGATATTTAGGTGCAGTCCAAATTTTTCACTTTCACCTTTCACTCTCAGGATTAGCCACTCCAGATCTTCCTTGCTTTCCGCAAGTAATGTTGTATTGTCTGTATATCAGAGGATGTTGATATTCCTACAACCTATTTTAACTCCAGCGATAGATTCTTCCACATGTGCATTCTGTGACTGTGTTAAATAGTGTAGGTGACAGGATGCGACCTTGCCAAGTACCTTTTTCAATTCTTAACCATTTTGTGTCTCCATATTCCATTCTCACAGAGGCTGCCGGATCAGAGTGCAATGATTGAATGAGCTGGATGTTCCCAGGCAGTTCCAGATCTTGTCCTGGTCAACACAATCAAAGGCTTTTATGTAGTCAGTGTATGAGATCTTTTTTGTATTATTTTGCTTTTTCAATCAGGCTTAGTGCTATTGCAGCCATATTTTTCAATGGGTGAACTGTTATACATGACTTTCTACAATTCCAGATGTATTCTTGATTAGTTCTTGCAAAACATGTCAAATAATTTTATTACCTTTTACAAACTTACTGTTAAAAACAATGTAAAATAGCAGTTAAGAGAAATCATTAAAAGTAAAAGAGAATGTGGATAGAAGTGTGAAAGTTATAAAGAAAAAGAAAGAAAGACATATATATGAAGAATGACACACAATCTCTTCTTCCAAGAATATAAAGAACACTTACATTCAACTCTTAGTATAAGACTATAATAAAATGTCCATTTTCCCCAATATAGAAAAGGGGAAATAAAAAAAACCTCCTCTTTTTTTCTCTATCTCCTGTGAAAAGTTCACAAAGGGCTTCCATTTATACTGAATGTCTTCAGCGATTTTCTCCAAGAAAAAAATGCCAGTTGTGTCATATTTATTAACCATTCCTCTATTGTGGGTATTGCAGCATCTTTCCTATGCTGAGCATATAAAATCCGTGCTGCTGTTATATATAATAATAAAGCACCATATGATTTTTTTCCAATGTTTTATGTTGAAAAACCCTGACAAAAACGTTTCTGATCTAAATTGGACATTAATTTATATTTTTGAATTACTTTACTAATTTCCATCCAATATTGTTTAGCTCTTTTACAAGTCAGTTCTTGCAAAATATATCACACATATTTAATTGAGAACTGTAACAGACTCTTGAAATTTGCTGATTGCCCAGCCCAAGTTTTGTGGTCTTGTGGTCCACGACTACAATGCCAGTCCAGCTTGGCTGCTAACCCAACTAGTCCAAACTGCAATTTCTGAAGTTGTCTTTAAGAAACAGCAGAGAGCATCCGGGAACTAAGGCTACAATGCAAAATTGTCCTTAATATCGAATTTTATTAAAGTTTTTGTTCCATTGTTTTTTAACTAGCTTTCTCAGATCTGGAATCACAACCATTAACACACCCTTTCTAAATGTTCTGTGCTTATTAAATTGTCTGAGTTGACATTAACTTTTGATAACAAAGCTACATCAAAAAAAATAACACAAAAAATTACTGAAAAGTAAATGAGCTTTAACATATACAATAATGTAAACTTATCTTCATATAATTTGTATCTCCTAATTTTACAAATGTTAGTAATTTTTGACAAGATTTGAATTCCTTCATGTCTGTATACCAAAGTAAATTTATTGGATTTTGTTGTTGTTTAGTAATGATGAGAATGTGCAGTTGTGTTACGTTTCCTTCTTCACGTTTCAACGAAACATACTCTCTCACAGTAAACGGTAGAAAATCTCTATTATTGTCTACCTTTCTGTGTTATGAATGATGCCAATCTTTATTCTTGCATTTTCCAGCTAAACATTTTGGGGGAGGGGAGCGAACACATTGGATTCTTCGTGCTCCGCTCGCAACTTTTTTCCAAGGCTTTTAAAACCCTCTTCCTAAGGAAGTTAGGAAGTTTGCGTAGTAAGGAACTCTCTTAGGAAGTTTGCGGATTTGGCGCTGCGCGGCCAGATGCTGCCCCCTCGCGGCACAAACTGACAGAGTCTCAAAAAGAAAAAAATGCAAAGGACAGAAAAGGGCCCATGCCGGGGCGGGGGGAGACGGCGAGGCTCCTCCTGTCCCTTGGCCCGAAAGGCGTGGCGAATTTTTACGGAAACTCCCTTTCTCCGCTTGGAGCTGTTTCCACCCTGCGGCATTAGGACCGAACAGCAAATTCGCCAGACGGAAGAGGCAGGAGGGCTGTGTGTGTGTCCGAACTGGAGCTTTGGCCGGAGTTGGAGAGAAGAAGAAGGGTTGGAGCTGCTGCGCTTCCTCGTCCTCGGAAGCTCTGGAGTTCCCGTAATCGGAGGCTAGACGGACTGACTTGGGCCGGGCAGGAGACGTCCTCCTGCTTCTGACTGGATGACCGGCGCCTCTTTTCAGAACTGCTTTTGTTCCTTGGGAATATTTCTGGCCAGATGGACTGCCTCTTTTCTTCCCTAGAAACCAGCAGACTGAACTTTTGGACTACAATTCCCATTAGTCCCTACTAGCTGATCGGGATTTGCTGCTGGATTGCCCCCTCCCAAAATTCTCTAAGACTTGCCTGTCTCCTTCACACCCTTTTACCACACAAGATGGATCCATCCCACTCCTTCTTTCCACCTGGATTTTAACATGATCCCCAGTGCCAGGTGAGATTGGGGGAGGGGGGAGGATGGGCATGGAAATTCATCCCTTGACACAAGGCCATGCAAACAGACCAGCCTTTCTCGCTCTTGGGAACTTTAAGATGGGCGCATTCCAGGCACCTGGGGGATTCTGGCAGATGACATCCACCCATAACTTCCTAAGGCTGAGAAACACTACCACAGAGTATATATTGTGGGGTGTTTTTTTTTTCCAGCTGGAACTCCAGCCATTGTTCCCTCCCTCTTCTTGATATGGCAGTGGTGGGTGAAGACCCTGCCGTATTTACCACGGATACTCTACCTTCTGATGCCAGACTCCTCCCAACATTGACCAATGCCTATCTGGGCACCCGAGTCTATAGGGACATCCTTCATGTCAACGGAGTGTACAATGGAGCAGTTGGAGAGACACATCGGGCTGATCTCCCCAGTCCCGTTAATGTCAAAATGGATGTGGAAGGGGCTGATGACCTGAGGGAGACCTTCTGTTTGGACACCAGGACAGGTAAGTGGCAATGACACCCTCCTCATCTACATTGTTTTGGTGGCCAATGCATTCCTGCCATCCTGTCAAGGCAGCTTTCTTCGGGTCACATGCTGAATATAGAAATTAGCTTTTATTTGGAAAGACAATGTGAAGCTATGATTTAAAAAGGAGAAAAAGGGGGTGGAAAATAGAAAATTCAAACTGAGCTATGGTCTCTGAAGCTTGAATCCCTTCCTAGCTCATAAAGGAATCTAAAAATATCTCAAATGAACCTATTTTGAAAGGCGCATCTTTTAAAACAGCCTCTCCAACTAGATCTCCAGATGCAGCAAAGTAGTCCCCCATTAGCAACAGGATGAGGTGAGTTGTTGTCCAGCATGTCTTCTCTATCTGGGAAGCCGCCTAAAACCTTCAACCTGGAGGAAGACGAGAATTTTCAAGATAGGAATGTATTTTAATTACAGGGCAGAGTGCTCAAAATCTGGAGAACATTTTCACCTTTCTGTGAAAATGGATTTGGCAGCAATATGGAAAATCCATTGTATTTTGAGGAATTTAATGACATATTTTGATTTCTCGTGACATACTTAAGAAAAGTTGGAAATGTAGAGCTCATTCTCTGCTAACTTGCTTATTTTTCACTCTTGGTTGCTGAACAAAGTTGAAAGGGGGGAAATGTTCCCCTGGCTGCAATTTTTTTCTTATGTGTAAAAGTCTCGGATTCTTTAACTCCCATCCCAGAGTCATATGCCACCCTGTCTGGGTCAGGTCTTGCAGTCTGGATACCAGAGCAACAGGGTAATACAAAGTCACAATGTCAGGTTAATAAAAACTCTAGTATGGCCTTTAAGCTGAGAGCTTCTGCACAGAACTTAGCACTGTGTACTTGAAAATTGCCATCCCCCAATGGGGTATCACTGCTCTCCTTACTAAGGAGCTCCTAACAGCTTGTAAGAAACTGGGTATCAGCTTGCTTTTTGTGTTAAGCTTTTAAATTCTGTTCGCTTAAGTTAATAATAAAGCATAAAATTTCTTTATTTGCACAATGTTTATTGTCTCTGGATCCAAAAGACCAATTGTGTGACACAACAGATTATCTTTCAGTCCTTGAATTGGATTTCATTTAACTTTTAAGCAGACAATCACTAACAAAGATCCTTTTTCACATTTCAGTTTATCAAATAACAGAAGGATTATATTGTCGGCCATGCTTCAATTTCTTACGTCAGACCCTTTTCCTTATGTGAAGTCGCAGAGTAGATTTGACATGAGAATTTAGGGCATGCAATCAAACTGACCCTTTCCTTCCGTCTGCAGGGACGTATATCCATACAGCTCAGTGCTCAGAACATTCAGCTACTCACAGAATCTATGCCCACCGTTCTCTTATCCATCTTCTGGCTTTCAGCGTAACAATCGCAAGATCAGCTCCGGAAGCTAAACCCATCAAAGTGAATCTCCACACCCAGTTCAAACCAGAGAGTCCAGACCTGGACTTGCAGAAAGGGCCAGATTTCCTGGGAGCTCAGTGAGTATTATTGTGGGAGTCTTCTCTGTGGCTCCTGGCCAAGGACTTAAAGACTGCAGTAACAAAGCCTAGTTATTTTTCTTGTGGTTTTGAATAGAGCATAAATGCTGTCCCCTCCAGAGGACACAGGGAGGCTGTCAGGAAACATCTATCATGCTAAGAGGCCACTTTGAATTATAAGAAAGAGTAGACTTTGACTAATATTGCCTTCCCCAACCTGCTGTCCTCCAGATATGCTGGCTCTACAACTTCTTGAATTCCCAACTAGCTTGATCTACAAGGCAGAGTGATTTGAGGGAGAAGAGAACCATTGGCCACTACACTTAAAAGGTATAGGCAGCAATACAAAGAACAAGGAGAATGGGGAGATGGAAAAGGTTTAGATTAGAGTTCAAAGGTTATGGGGAAAAAGTCTTCGTGCTCAATGAGTATAAAATTCCAGTGATGTTTCTGTTGTTTAGTAGATTCTCTAATATCCAGAGAGAAACATAAGAATTCCCATTTTGTTCTTTCTCTTTAGCTATCTATATGGGAAGACATTAGTCCCAGAAGTAGAGGGTGGCCCCCAGCCTACCGTACACATGATCTGGACCCCGGTGCCCCAATCAGTGACTCTCCCTGGAGACCAGAAGGAGCAGAGATGGGAGTTCCTCACTGCCGTAGCGGAGTCTGAAGAGGTTGTGCAAAGGACCTTTTGTGAAGGGATGTCCCTGATTGGATCTGGTTCCTTATATCTGTCCCACTTCCAGGCTTGGGCAGAGCTCTGGGAAGGCTGCTGTGTAGATGTGGACGGCCCTCTTCCCTTCAGCCAGGCCATATATGGTTGCCTGTATTACCTGCTGAGTGCCATTCCTCCTCTGGGCTCTGCTAACTTCCCTTTTTCTGGAATCAGCCCAGGAGGCCTTTCCAACGGCACATCCGGTGAAGACTACTGGGGCCATGTCTTCTGGGACCAGGTGAGCAGAAGGAACCGCCCCAGTTTTCTACTGCTGGTTGAAGTGGAGATGAATTGGGGAAGATGCTGCCTGTCATGGCAAAGACCTGGTCATCTATTGTCCTGCAGCTAGTGTTAGCGTTTTGTGATACACATGCAAAGACTAAAAGGTGTTGTGAATTTTATCCAGTTCCATCTCTGTCA